AGATAAAACCCTCTGAGAAAACAGAATCATATAAGTCCATCAGGTTTCTAGAGCAAACATTTCAGGCTGCTCCAACTGGCTTTAGACTAAGCCAGTCCTTTATTACTATATACAAGTGCTTTGGTTAGCAAGTTCTAACTGTTAGTAATTCTATCTCTCGAAGTGGAGTTTAAGAGATAGTTTTCAGTCTGCGCCGGAAGATTTGTAAGCTTCTCTGTCTTATTTCAATGGGGAGCTAATTCCACCATTTTGGAGCCAGGATAGCAAACCCACTGCTTTTTGCTGATGGGAACTGGGTCCCCCTCGCAGTGCGGGTGCAAGCGAGCTGTTTGGCCTGTAGAGCGGAGTGCACTGAGGGGGTGACGGTTTATACCATGTCCTGGGATGTAGGAATGGGCCAGATCCATTCGCAGCATGGTGCGCAAGTAACCAGTGTCTTGAAGGTGGATTCTAGCAGTTACCGAGCCAGTGAAGGGAGCGAGGAGCGGCGTGGGTGTGGGACATTCAGGAAGGTTGAAAGACCAGACGAGCCGCTGCATTCTGGATGAATTGAAGGAGGTCGATGGCACAGCAGGTAGACCAGCCAGGAGGGAGTTGCAGTAGCCTGATGCAGGGTTCCCAAATTTGGGGGTCTCCCGGGGGGGTCGAGACCCTGAGTGGGGGTCGGCGAGATGATGACAAAAAAAAATGCAAAAAAAAAAAAAAACATTGATTCATTTGTTTTATAATTATTTATTTTTTGCATTATTATTAAAATAACGTTTGGCATAGACATTTTCTCCAGTGGGCGGACTAGCCATCTGTAAATTTCCTCCGCAACGAGCCTCTGTTCCTCAACTTACCAAAACAAATTAATTCCACTAGCACTCCTATTTTGACCTCTGTTGTGAAACGTCACAGGGTAGGAAGTGGATAGGAGAATTGCAAAGGATTAGGAGAGAGACTGCGGTACTTTAGAGAATCCGAATGCACTTTCACTATCCGACGTGTTTATGATTGCGCCAGCGGACACATATAATGGTGCGTCTGCTGGCTGTGGGGGAAACTATGAAACTAAGTGTTCCTATTACAGCGGAACCTACCAACATAATAAGAACGAGGGACTCATCTAGAGATCTGCATCCGTCTCGATGCTGTTGCTTTATGCTTTATGAACGTGGGCAATAACAGAGAACATAGTTCTCATGACCAAAGTTGGAATTGAAATAAAATAAGGAAATGTGGAAACTTATTGCTCGTCACCCTCTCCTCCGGTCCACATTAATACGAATGATCCCAATCGTATGATACTATGAAAAGATCTTGATAATAAAATCATTTGTATTTTGATTTTAAGATCTTTTCCATAGTTCATACGTTATTGGGATCTATCGTTTATGTGGACCGGAGGGGAGTGTGACGAGCATAATTCACTTTCCTTTTTTTTATTTCAATCAACTTTGGTCATGAAGAATATGTTTCCTCTGTTGCCCACCGTTCATAAAGCATAAAGCAACAGCAGCAGAGCACGGTGCAGAGTCTCTAGATGAGTCCCTTCGTTCTTATTATGTGTAGTCCGCTGTATAGAACACTGTAGTTCCATAGTTTTCCCACAGCAGCAGACGCACATTTATGAAATGCCGCTGGCGCATGCATAAACACGTCCAGATAGTGAAAGGCATTCGGATCTCAAAGTACCGCAGTTCTTCTCCTAAATCCTTTTGAATTCTCCTATCCACTATCCCTTAACCCTGTGACGTTTCACACGAGGTCAAGGAATAGAGATGCTAGTGGAGATTAATTTGTTGTAAAGTTTGGAGAACAGAGCCTCTTGCGGGGAAAGTTTACAGATGGCTAAGTCCGCCCCTGAATGTCTATGCAAACGTTATTATTAATAATAATGAAAAATAAAAATATAAAACAAAATGATCATGGTTTTTTTTTTTCATTTTATTTGTAATCATCTCGCGACCCCACTCCAGGGTTCCGCAACCCCCGGTGAGACCCCCAATTTGGGAACCCTGGCATAGACTACTGGCAACTCTCCTGGCTGGTCTACCTGCATGTGCCATCCGACCTCTGCAGCTCATCCAGAATGCAGCGGCTCGTCTGGTCTTCAACCTTCCTAAATTCTCCCACACCACGCCGCTCCTCCGCTCCCTTCACTGGCTTCCAGTAACTGCTAGAATCCACTTCAAGACAATGGTACTTGCGTACCATGCTGCGAATGGATCTGGCCCTTCCTACATCCAGGACATGGTTAAACCGTACACCCCAGCACGTGCACTCCGCTCTGCATCAGCCAAACAGCTCGCTGCACCCGCACTGCGAGGGGGACCCAAGTTCCCATCAGCAAAAACAGTGGGTTTGCTATCCTGGCTCCAAAATGGTGGAATGAGCTCCCCATTGAAATCAGGACAGCAGAAAGCTTGCACATCTTCCGGCGCAGACTGAAAACTCATCTCTTTCGACTTCACTTCGAGCGATAGAATTACTAACAAAGCACTGATAACAGAGCACTTATATACTAATAAAGGACTGGCTTATCTAAAGCCAGTTGAGTAGCACTTGAAATGTTTGGCTCTATGAAACCTGATGTACTTATATGATTCTGTTTTCTTCAAAGTTGTATCTTCCTGGTCGAATGTACTTATTGTAAGTTGCTTTGGATAAAAGTGTCAGCTAAATGCCATGTAATGAAAATGAAGCTGAGTGGACTGCAAATTGTCACATTTCTGCATCACAAGGATAACACTGTTTCACGTGCATAAAAACAATAATTACAACAATACACCATATTAGACTAACCTTTGTTTAAATGGCTGCATTTCTTTGTGTGTCAGGAATGGTATGACCCCAAAGGAAACTGTAATCTGTGGAGTCTGTTAGTTCACATGCTGATGCAGGCTAGTTTAGAAAGATGGAAGGTTCCCTATACCTCCTCCTGGTTTGACAGCAGTTCAAGGCACAGATGGAGAGCAGCACAGGTTTCACTGGAGAGCTCACTGGTCTCTTTGGCTTTCAGTAGAAGTGGGGCAGGCAGTGCTGTTTCAAAAACAAAATAAAAATAATACATATTCAGTGCAGATAAATTGGGCTACAACTGAGTTAGCATTGATTAATTTGTTGTTTTTGTCACGATATGTCAGAAAATAGGGTTAAACAAATCACAGTGGTGTCTACAAGACCAACAATCAAGACGCTAAAGATTTGCTCATTCAATAAAACAGATTTATGTTTTATGTGTCCATGCTAAAAGATACATTAAAGAGTGAGGGGTTATGTCACTGTGTCAACTAGCAAAAGGCTAAACGACTCGTGACATTTTATATCCATGCCTATTTGTGACCCCGTCATAAAGGTTGAGCATGTTTAGAAACTCAGAAGGTCAAGCGCTGTGGTTCTCAACCTTATCGAGTTTCACCTCCCCCGCAAACAATGATTAGATAAAAGTTGGAAAAAACGTCACTAAAATGTTACCTTCTTTATCGTTCTTTCCACTCACATTTATCCTAAAGCCCCTTGAAAGGACCCGACACCCAGGTAAATAAATCGCAAGGTTAAGGTTTGGTCTAACAAAATTGTTTTTTAATTCGTTTTTCTATCCATTTATTAAATAATCAATTATCAAATCATTTCAGCACTAGGATGAAATTATCGGAAATAAAAGGACACTGAATTAACAGCAATAATACGGGAACAATTCCAGGACTCCTACCACTGTTCTCCTCATTCTTCACCATTGAGAGAAATATTGACACTTCACTCTCCAATTTCTGCTGGGAAGCGTTGGCTGCCTGCAAGAGCGGAAGACAAAAAGGGACACTCACTTGGAATCCTCCTCCTTAAAAATAGCACTTCCTTCCCACTGCCACCTTATAAAACACCTGATTAAAAAAAGGTCTGACATTTATTTTACCTGAAGGGCTTGTGACAGATTCCTCACTGTTTCTTCAGCACAACCATTGGCATCGATGATCAATTCTTCTTGGGTGCAGTGGCGAGTGCTGTAGGATGAATGTGCCTCAAATGCATCTAACCATCTCTAAGTGCACAAATATCAGAAATATTTACAAATGTCCACCCTTTCGGATTCACTTAGACCAGGGGTGTCCAAACTACGGCCCGGGGGCCAAATGCGGTCTGCGGACCATTTTGATTCGGCCCTCAGCAAATTAAAATGGTATAATGAAATATGGCCCACAAAGGAAACTTGTGCTTGTCTTATATTACACAGTAGTATTCACGTGTTAATAAGACCACTTTTCAAATAAATTCAGTCAATTAAAGTTGGAAACATTTTCTAACATATCTTAGTTGATAAGAATAAAGCCCAATAACTTATTTACATAACAAGCTTGAAATACACCCTTCCTATTTCTCCTTTTTATAATCAATCTGAGGCTTCTGTTTTAAGGGATGAGCTGCCAACACTCACAAACATAATTTTGCTAACTTATAACTGAACTTATGAGGCAATATACCTCTAGTGAGTGGCCCAGCCCTTCGAATATTTTTCTGTATGTGTCCCTCGGTGAAAAAGGTTTGGACACAACTGACTTAGACAAATCAGTCAGATTGTTCAGAGAAGAGATATTTCATTAGCACAGAAGGTGAATATCAACTCACTTTTCTTGTTGCCACTGAATTAGTCTTTGAGGAGACTTTGAAATAATGTACAGTGTCATCAAAACACTTAAGCATGAAGAAGCAATGATCCCATGGTTTGACCTAGAATGACACAATTAAATTACTTAGAATCACGCTTGCTGCACGATCTGTCAAACATCACCATGTCATCACAACGGAAACATCCAAGGGGCATTCTTGTATAGTCATGAATGTTCAATCAATTACTACTTACCATGCAGTAGGCTTTTGTTAGAGACTTACACCCTTGTTTTCTGACACCAGCCAGGGCATCAGCCCTGAAAAAAAGAAACAAATGAGAGAGCACATAGACACACTGTATAATAAAACTGCACTAATTGACCAACAGTACACATGTAGAAGCTTTTTAAAGTTCCAGTTTCCCTGAATGCTTTTGGAGCTACTGATGTCGGCATCTCCAAAGATATTTATTTGGAGAAAATTGGACAAGGCATCGTCTGGTTAAATGTAGCTTAAAAAACAGAGCCAATCAAGGATAGCAGGAGCAGCTAGAGAGAAACTTCTACCATGACAAACAGTAGCATACATAATGTAATAAAAAACTATATATTTGTTATCTAAACAATTGGCATACATGCATACAAGTTACTGTATCTCACTTTCTGGGATACCAGGAGAGCGTTCCATCCTCAATGACCACCCAGTGGGATCGCCATCCAAGAAAGCGGGAACTCTGTCAGAGACATGTGGAGTAAAATCAGAAACTGTTTTGCAAAAGTAGAAGATATAAATGGTTCAATATATTATAGAACATATAGGTTTGAATATATTTTTTAATCCGTTTTGATAATATTCAAAATAAACTAAGTCATTATATACAAAACAAAGAATAAAAAGGGTTTTGAGAAATTTCTTAAATATATAATAATGCTATTGTGTGGCATCATTTATTGTCTTCTGTTTGCGATTGTAGTAATGTGTTATTTATTATTTGCATGTACAGCACTTTGGCTCGACCAAAAATCGTTTTTAAAATGTGCTATATAAATAAAACCTGATTTGATTTGATAATAAGAAAAAAGTAAAGTCTATACCATCAAATGTGTCTGAAAAAGAATCATTGCCTGACATATTGGAAGTAGAAAAATAATACACTTCAACATCTGGGTACCTTCCAAAGAGGGCCTTCAATCTTCTTCACCCCACTGCTCTCATCCTTTGTGGAGAAAAAATATATAATTCTCAGACTTGTGTACAGACCATGGTACAGACACAGGCTGATTGACAGGCTTGAAGAGGTTTTGTTTAGACCAGACACACTCAACTCAGTTTTCCTTTTGTACAGTATTACAGTAAAACCTGCATTGTGTCAGAAGTATATACATTTAAATGTTCTTAGTAGACAAGCACTTGTTTTTTCTTCATTACAATGACTAAGCAATGTTCTGCAGTGAAGCTGTGCCAATTACAGTATATTACACATTGAAGCAAAAACAAGGACGGCTGACTTGCAAGGCTTTGCTCCACAGCCACCAGACCTCAAGTTAAGACATTTAGAGATATATGAAAGAGGAGAGTGAACAAATATAGTTGTGTGGACCTTTATCTTAGCCCAGAGTAAGATAGCAATAAGGAGAAAAATACAAACACCTAATAAGGTGCTAGAAATAATTAATTTTGACTCATAGTCAGAAATTCCCTCGTGGATAACCCAATTTTGAAATGTTTAATCTACTGGGAGATGTGAAGGAACTTAGTTATTTTTACTGGATATTTGTTTATTAAACTGAGATTTTTCCTAGCTAGATTTTGCCAAATGGTTGTGAAAGAGCAGATGCCAGAGGATCACAACAATTCCCTGCTCCTATTAAATGTAAGGGGTGAGAAATGCACTACCTTAACCTTTATATATTTTTTCCTTATTTTCTTTCAAAAGGAAAACTTCATTACCTTAAAACTGAAAAACGACTTATCTTCACCTACCTTGACTTGATAGGCTGCTAGAATCAGTCTCAGTTCATCACTGCGGGTCAGGTCTAAAGCAGTCTGGTCTGCAAAAGTTAGCCATGCAATAAATTACGTTGCAATACCCAAGCACAAAACTAATAGAACCTACTGTAGTATTTACACAAATGTATATTTAAAAAAAAAGAAGAAATATTAACTTCAAAATGACCAGATTAAACGTTATGCACTAAAACTTCATTAGTAAGAGTATAAAGAGATTAATTACCATGGGTGTTTTTGATACTGGGGCTGGCTCCAGAGTTGAGCAGCTTTATAATGCACTGCTTCTGCCCCCTGTAGGCGGCACAGTGTAAGGGAGTGTTCCCCACAGAGTCCCTGCAGTGAATATCTGGAGGTTCTTCTCTACTGAGCTGAAGAACAGAAGACAGGGGAACAGCAGAAAGCAATTTAACAAAGCATAAAACGCTGACATATACTTATTCAACATGTAGAACTGAGTGTCCACCTTAAGCCAGTGATACAAAACACAGAAAGAAAAGTAAAATGATTTCCCTGATTTGGTTTTCTGGAGAATCTGCTTAGGTCTGCTGAACAATTCAGTAAAGAATGCACATTATATATTGTTTTAGTTGTCTATGATTCAATCTTTTACCATTCTTCCAAAGCATCAGACATTATTATATTAAAATGTTGGATTTTTGTGACCAGTATCTGGAATGTTAATGTAAACCTGTAGCATAACCCATTCAATCTCAAAACACAGCAAAACCTGTGCAAGGCAGTGGTTTCATGTGAAACGTTCTTTAAGCAAGAAAGAGGCTTTCAAGTGTAATATATTCTGCAAAATTATTAGAAAGGTCAGACCAGTTTAGACAGAGTGGAGATGTCCCCCTCTCTGGCTGCTTCCAGAAGCTTCTCCTCCCACCGCCTTGTCTCTCTCCTCTCTGCAGCTGCACAAATCAAACACCATTTGAGAACAAAAGGCAGATGATCCAAAGTAATGAGAAGCAATCAGCCTTTAAAAAATTACCCTCCAGCATTGTAATGATTTCATCATCCTCTGTCACATCTTTAGGGATTTGAGCTGTTCCATTGATTATGTTGGAACAGGCATCATACCGCAGCAGCAAGAGAACAATCTCCTTTAAGCAGAGAATTTTTTTTTTTTTTTTAATCTGACCATCATTTGTCATCATTTAAAAGATTGAATACTATCTGGTGGTGTCTGAGACAGTGAATTCAGCTCACAAGTTATAAAGCAGGGCACATCTATATAGTAATGGGCAGGCAAGGCACTCAATGTTATTTTATTTTGTTTACCTTTCTCCCAGTAAACGCTGCTTTGTGTAGAGGTGTGTCACCCATGTTATTCTGCAAATTTGCATCAGCACCTGCCTGCAAATATGGTAAATATATTAAATACAACTGGCTGCAAATACTTACTGGAGATAATATATTTATCTTCTTTTTTTTTTATTCTACTAATTCAATATTATAACATACAATCAATGAAACAGACAATCAAAAACAAAATAAGAAGAAACGGGAGGGCAGAAAGCAGAGCTAATTAAGAAAATAGTCCTCCCCTTACTCATCCAGTTTTTAACTATTTTGGTCAAGGATCCAAATATTACGGCATAGGTTGGTTTCCATGTATGCAAGTAAAAACACACATAAATAAACAAAATGCTATGTATACAAACACATACACATATACTATGTACATGTACTACACACATAGGCCTACTTCAGGTTTCAAAGTATGATTTAAAAAGGTCATTTCCAGGGCAAAAAGGAAATACAATACCAAAACAATGAAAAGCAAAATGAAAAATAAAGTAGGATAAAGGTTTTTTTTTTTTATCTTAAAATTTATACTAATCCATGAACATAAAATATAAATATATAACGGTCCTTTTTTTTTTTTTAAAAGGTAAACCAAAACACATAGACAACACAAAACAAGAAACAAACAAAAGGACCGTTATATGAACACATCTCACCTTAAGCAGCTCCTGCACAGCTTCCCTGTGTCCAGAGCAGCAGGCCAGGTGGAGGGGGGTCCATCCTAAACTGGCTTTAGATCTGGCTTTACAGACAAAGAGGAAGTGAGGAACATGATCCTCATACCTGAAGAAGAACATCAGTGCTAGTCGAAAGCTAATGGCTAATCTCCTCTATACTTACATCTGCAGTTGATGTTCAGAGAGCTGCTTTGGTTGATTCTCGACTGAAGGAGGCTCTGAATATGAGAACAACTGCCTTCTTTAGCGTAGAGGAGAAGCTTTTCCTCAAGTGTGTTTGCCTCCATCCCAACTTTACTTCCTTTTGCCCAATAGCAAAGCTAATGCAAATGTTACGGCTGTCACAGATATTGGAGACCAAAAAACCGTTTGTTAACTGATGCTAACACAACCAGTAAAGGTGAACAAAGCTTCTGAGTGAAACATTAACACATACAGTCAGTAGCCAACTTAATTTAACGTAGCTTGCTTTCTTTTAGCTTGTGGAGGGAAAGTTTAAAACAACAACAAATGTACCCCAAAGGCTAAGGTACAACACGAACAACTTAGCTTGTTGCCTAATGAAATACACGCTTTAGACTTACAGGGAAAGATTTTAAACTCCTACTTTAATCAACTTTCCCGAGTGTGTTTGAGGGTTCAAGCCACAGTTTAAAGATCAACCAACACTACTCGAAATTTGATCATGTCAATCAGCTGACAGCTGTTGGGTCGTCATGTGACCAGGCAGCATGTGTGTGTGTGTGTGTGTGTCGGTATGTGTGCGAGTGTGGACCAGGGTAAGACAATTCATAAGATATAGAGGTATGCATTAAATAAAAAGTAATGGTAGACTATTGAATGCCATGCATGGAAAAGTGTAGTATCTAATAAAAACATACAAATGAATACAAATGTTCTGATATATATAAAAAAGTATTACAAGTCCTAGTAAAGTTCATATAATCACTAACAGACATGTTATAGTAGGCCATAATGAATAAGAGGAATTAATTGAAAAAGTCCTAGTATTTTATGTCATAAAAGCATCTTATTATAGTATAAAGTCATATGCCATAATTAATTTCATTTAGTAATTCTGGTGAACATTTTTTGTGTTTTACTTTGTTTTTACTTAGGCCTACTCCTTTACACATCTGAGTAAAGGAATGGTTCATCCTGTTAAGTCATTTTAATGCTTGTATTGCTTGTGCCATAAAATGTATGGCACAAGCAATACATCATTTATTAAATGATCACTTCAGATTGAATCTAGCAATGTGTCTTTGTGTCCATATGTCAACATACTACACTGGTTAGAACACTGTATTACTGTATTGATTTTATAGTCTTTATGAAGCCCTCAGAAGAGGCAAATTCTTCTTTTGTACACTAGATGGAAGTATTTGCTGCACCAGGTGAGGCCCACACAGGTTAATGCTCTGTTTATTTCCTGAGCTTCTGTCAAAGAGACTTGTTCAGGAAAAACATAAATAAACGTTCACATCGCAGCCACATTTCCATACTTTTTTTTTGCATTGAAGGTCAATCCTGAGTGTGTGGCTTTGATGGCCCTGCTTACTTTAAGCATTTAGGTCCCCTGGGATTAGTGCATATTTGACAGAGTGGGTGAGTGAGAGTCATGCTGTAATGAGGGTACAGTAGTGTGAGGGGCGACTTCAAAGACCACCTGTGAAAGGAAAGGTGTCTTTTTGAGAGGCTGTTAAACCAGGAACTTCAATCACAGGCTAGGCTAATAGTCCAGCAGCAAGTCCTCAAACAAGGCTTTAGTTTTCGAGATACCCCTACCCGAGGTAGAACAAATGACAACAATGATTTTTCTTATCTTTAGGGTCTCCCATTAATGAAATTGATTGTTGTCAAATTTTATTTTGGGGGAAAAAATGTTTTTTTGGTTGTTCTTTAGAACTACCCCAATCCCTGAAAAAGAGCCAAATTAGACCAGGCCGAATATGGGAAAGGTGACAAAAAAGCCCATAACTTGAGAATGGCAACTCTTTTCCTCTTCAGATTTGCTGAGGTATGAACCAGGTGGCTGTCCTACATCACCAAATGGTCAGACAATTATTCAACTAAAAACATACTGAATTATAGTCCTGTAAACTTAGCTTTAGTTTAGACGGAAATTGTACTTGGTTGGTGATAGGAACATAGGAACAATCACTTTTCTGTCACTTATCAGAAAAACAGTAATCCCTAAAAAATATACCATTACTGAATTGTCTAGGGTGCTATTGAACACTAACCAGTAGTTGTATGGAAATATCTGGTACAGTTCTATTGTAAATGAGATTTCTTTAGACATAGGCCTACCTCTTCTCTGATACAGTCAAATTCTGAATGGGGGAGAAGTGGCATAATAGCCTATAAGTTAAGAATGCTCACTCTGATGGTCATTATATTTAGAGAGGGAAATACCAGGTGGCTGAACTACATCACCAAATAGTCAGAATAAGAGTAACCCAATACAATAAAGTGTATTAGTTCTAAATTGCAAGCCTCTAAAACATAGGTGTAAATACAGTAGTACGGGTTTTATTGAAACTGGAACCTTAATTCAAAGTACAGTATACAAATCATCAAATAATTCTGTGAGAGGTCAAGTATATAGATACTAGAATATAATGTTAAATGTCAGGTTCCTCAGAAACGTTAGGGGACACATGTTGACATTCTGCACAGCAGGTGCAGAACTCCGTACAGGGAAGGCCAACAGAGAGGCACTGGCACTTTCCATTCTCTCCAAACTTTGCATCTTTGCAATTCAAGTGAGTAATGTCTCTTACTTCGGTGCTGGGGTTTTTGTAAATAGCACTGGTTGAATGGCCCCATCTCTGACAATCCACCCCTTGCCAATAGGACTCCATAACAAGGGATTGGGTTTGGCCTGTGACACCATATCGCTGTCTGAAACATTGCATGACCATCAGAGTGAGCATTCTTAACATAGGCTATTATGCCACTAATCCCCCATTCGGAATTTTGACTGTCTCAGAGAAGAGGTAGGCCTATGTCTAAAGAAATCTCATTTACAATAGAACTGTACCAGATATTTCCATACAACTACTGGTTAGTGTTCAATAGCACCCTAGACAATTCAGTAATGGTATATTTTTTAGGGATTACTGTTTTTCTGATAAATTAGAGAAAAGTGATTGAGTCCTATGTTCCTATCATCAAAAAGTACAATTTCCGTCTAAATTAAAGCTAAATTTACAGGATTATAATTCAGTATTTTTTTAGTTAAATAATTGTCTGACTATTTAGTGATGTAGGACAGCCACCTGGTTCATACTGTACCTCAGCTAATCTGAAGAGGAAAAGAGTGATCATTCTCAAGTTATGGGCTTTTTTGTCACCTTTCCCATATTCGGCCTGGTGTAATTTGGCTCTTTTTCAGGGATTGGGCTAGTTCTAAAGAACGACCAAAAAAAACATTTTTTTCCCCAAAATAAAATTTGACAACAATCAATTTCATTAATGGGAGACCCTAAAGATAAGAAAAATCATTGTTGTCATTTGTTCTACCTCGGGAATCTCAAAATCTGAGGGCCCTTCCTGCTAGACTACTGTATAATACCCAGTAGAGCTGCAAGGGATAGACAAAATAAGATGAACACTCTGTGGGATAGTGCTTAAACACTGAAGCAACTACATCACTTCCACAAACATTACCACAGAGGATTGGGTTTGGAAAGTAAACAAGGCTTGCAGCTGTTAAATTTGTTTAAATCAGCCCTATGTTATACGAATGTTCAAAGTACCATGAGATAACCAGCACAGTTCCAAAGACGCCAACACAGCAGTGCCTCAAAACACACAGGGAATTCAGGGTGTACACAATCATGATGTTTAGGCCAAACAAAGACAAATTGCTCTGACAGAGTTTTTATATCTGGTTGTTGGTTCTAATTACTGCAATGCTCTAGCGCTAATGCTTTGGATAGGAGAACTCTCTTGCATCAATGGAGAAATGGGTAATGTGTCAAAGGTGGTCTTCTCAAGTCATTATGTATATATGTTTATTTTCATTTTCATTCATTTCTTACTTCATAGTTTATATGACCCGATATGATGCTCATTTAAATTAATTTCTTATTCAGTTTTTCGTTATTTTTATTTGTATCTTTCATTTTATAAACCTGTGTGAATCTGTGCTGTCCTGTTTTTCATCCTTACCCTGTTGCTGTTTGAACTACTGAATTTCCCCATGGGGATTAATAAAAGTCAATTTGATCTCATCTTATTATGCTTAAACTGATCCTAATTTGCTTTATACTCTTGTTGTTTGTACTGATCATGTTTGTATTGATCTTTCAAAATAATGCTCCTGCACTAGTCCAACACCTAAATAAACCCTATAGGACTTAATACAATTCTGAATAATAGATTACAAGTCATTCATTATTGGTTTTATATTTAATTGTAATATCTGGGAAGTTATGGAAATACAGACATTAATCATAGCATATTCATCAAATCAGGTCTGGTGAGGGAAAGAAGCACACTGGGCTAGTTCTTGCTAATTAGCATGGCAATTATTGTAAGCTGTCACAGTTCTTAAGCAACAGGGTGGACTGTGTGTGCTCCAGAGCGTAATCCCTCACAAATTACAAGATAATAGAGGCAAAGAGAGACCTTCGCTTCAAAAGAAACCAGGAGATAAAATCCCCAGCAGGGACATTTTAGGGACAGTCATGGAGAGAGACGGCGAGTGAGGAAAAAGGTAAGGGAAAGAAGGACGGCATGTATTCCCTTCACATAGAGCTGTCTGAATAGGACATGGTTATTTGATTGTGTAGTTAATTGAATGGCTTCAAATGAATCAAATCTGATATGTTTTTCTGCATTTGACACATTATGCTTTTTCTTTCATTGTAATTTACATATTTTAAAGATGATATCTGTCAATATATCCCTTTTAATTCTACTTCATTTCATGTTGTACAGCATTATTTTGCCTAATAACCACAGATCGATAGTCCTCTCTCCTTGTCGCTTGCGGTGCAAAACACATTTTTCAAAGCTCCCTCGAAACATGGATTCAGCTGCTTCTCTTGTCAAGAAGCAAGAAAAAGATAATTGTATAGAAGGAAGGCAGCACTTTGCAGGACAACAGTATGCTGCAGCACAGTATACATTGCTGCCCCATATACAGTTTAACATATGTGGTTTATTTAGCTGTGTCCTACCTTGACTCCCTGCACAGCTACACACCTGCCGTGATCATGAGGTCACCAACCTTCATTAGAAGGATCCAGGTATGGCCTTTCAAAACTGGTAGGTCAGTCAGATTAAGGTCAATCAAGCACCGTCAGTACACACCCATATAGTCCAGACGAGCTCCAATCAGAAAGTGTGGATGGGCCATACTGTATGTGTATCGGGGCACAGTAATAAACATATATAACAAGCACACGGAATGAGTTGTTTTCTGTGTCCTTAAAGTTTTTTTATAGATGGAAATGAAAGTTTATAGTGTTTAATTAAGTAACTTTGACATCAAATATGACTCATCTACAGACATCGGCATTGTTTTTCTAAAATGCTCTCAAATGTATTATTTCCTCCTCGAATGAACCCCAGTGGATCTTAATGGTAAGCTATTATTCTAGCAGGCATGTTGCAACAGCACAGATAGACGTTAGACACTAAATAACTTATTCATGGGGGATAACCATTTAAAAAAATTGCTCTACTGTCTTGAAACAGCAGGATAGATGTGACCACTGTTCTGGGATAGATTACCTCTGGTTATTTGTCTGCTCAATATTAGCAAGGCTATTGAAGTAAACAACCTTTTTTCCATGGCATTATTGTTGCATTGTTATCACCACAATAGCTGAAATGTATTCAAAAATAAATGAAAGAAATGGAAGCAGCAAGTATTCCTAAAACGTCTCCAACGAACCAACCAGAGCTGTGTACATGGTGAAAACAAAATATAAGATATATAGTGTTACTCCATGATTAAATAATAAAATACCACATGTCTTTATTTTACAATACACAGCAGCTCTAAACACGCCTGATACATTTTTTTTCTCTTAGCCTAAACATGATGAAATAATACATAATTATTACAGTAATAATAACTGCACTGGGATGTTAACAATAATAACCTGCTCCAACTATAAATGTTGCTATAAGGGTGGATAGATTACCCAGCTTGGAGCTTTTGAAAACGAAATGAAATATTTAACAAGTCAAAAATACTGTGACGAAGAGGCACACCCAATGCATCTCAATGAGCTTCTGTGGATAGAGCAAAAGGTAAATGCCAACACCCTTCATCTCGCTGCAGCTCTGCTTAAAGGACTGCGACGCTGTGAATCTATCTGACTATGAGTTCAGTTCTCTCATTTATCATTAGCATTTATTATGTAAACGGAACAGCTCTGATTTGATGTGGAGATGAAGACTACCAGGGGATGTTTCTGTGTAGTTCAAATTGCAATTAGCCCATACCCCAGCATTTAAAAGCATATTACTCAAATATCACAAGTGAATTCTCCCTCATCCATGATGATGCAGCATTATGTAATGACAATATAAGGCCTTTTTGCCCCAACTACTAAAATTGCATTACCAAAATGATCAAAACTCAAACTTAAAGGGCAGCCTGGTTTCACACATCTTACCGTGGATTTAAAAAAAATGCAAATCGAGTACAGACAGCTTGCTAGCTCACACACAGAATGGGAATCTGCACTGCACACCTAACCTGCTCAACATTCATGCTTAAGGGAGTCTTCTTCTCTTAGTTATTTTTTTAATGTTGTTTTTCCATCATCCACCAGCAAAAGTGTTATTGACAAAATTGTGGGAGCATTTCCTGATTACCAAATCATACTTTTAGTATTTATCAGAGAATTGCTGTAAGTATGGTTGTTAAACAATCAACAAGTTAGGAGGTTTGTTTTTCACCTGTGTTGCCTGACTTGAAGGTCAAGTGTCTAACAAGGACCAACATTGAAAAAAGCTAGAATAAAAAAGTGTATTAGTATGCAAGGAATGTTTTTTTGCAGTCTTGTTTAGCACACATATCTTTTCCTAAATCCTAAAAAAAAAACCTTGATAAAAGAAAATTGTCAGGTTAACAATATAATAGATATCATGAAATACAATGCATCAATTATTGTTATACGTCAAAATACAGTATCTTCCTCAGATATGAAGACAATTTGAAACGTTTTGTACCAAGAATGATGAATACGGCCATGGATATTAAGGATTGAAGGGAGGAACGGGATATTCTCATGTATGTGTTAACATTTAACTTAAGCTGTGATTACTGTGGATAGGCACACTGTTACAGTATGATAGCATCAGTTCTCCAGCCCAGCATCCAAACACAAACACTTCAGTACTAGAGTAATGGAGAGCCGCAGCAGGGCACAGTATAATCAGCAACACTAGAGCCTCTGTGTACCCTCTGTGGCACTGCTTTGTTTCTGAGTGCCCTCCATTTTCAGATGAGTCCCTGCACTTGTATTACCAAATCCAGCGACAATGCACCTGCCAAATTCATTGCTTGCCTGACACACTTTCCTTGCATTCTGTTTAATATGTATGCAGTACATTAACATATTTTACAAAAGGAAATATAATATATTTCGATGATGAACATTGAGCTGTAGATACCATGCTCGACATTTCCCTGTAGCTCTCAGTATGATATAAAGATCGACTTAAGAATGACCTTTGCAGTAATGATCTAATATTAATGTTGGGTTGGTTGACACACCTGCATGATCTTTATATTATGGCATATATTATTTATTGTTTGTGAACATTTTCAGTCTGGTAGAGGCAAATCAAAATCAAAAGCAAAATCCTTCCTTTACTTATGATGAGGATTTTTCTTGTGATTTGCACCTCATGATGGCATACATTTGTTTTTTTGGAAAGCATTTGTAAAGCACTGGTGTAAACCTTTATTTGTGTGCATTAGTTTCCATGACGGCACAGCGTGAGTTTCCATGACTACTCTGAGCCTTTGTTGTCCACGACACAATTCAAATATAAAAACCGTGTTTTTCAGTCATCCTGTAGAGAAAAGTAGTTAATCATGCTATTTATGTATCTAGTACACTAAGCTACTACTTTATAAAGTATTTAAAACCAAACTGTATTTCTTAAACTGCCCTTTAACAATCAATAACAAATGTTCTAACATTTGCCGTTGATCAAACACATCTTCCAAATATCAATTTCTAACCATTACTGCCAAAGCTAGACTTCTTCTAGTTCTTTTATGGTTTTTGTATGTTGTTTTCCCATTCGCCATCTGCCAGATAAGGTCTTGCAACACAACAACATTGTACATTATGCAGTTCTTGGTTACGTAGTCAACAATTTCAGTATTTACCAGAGATTGCCTTAGGGATGGTTTGTGAATAATTCATCTTATTTTGTAGTTGTATGTTTTTCACCTGTCATGACTGACTTGGTTATCTGTCATGTTAGCCTCTCTCTCTGACAAGGTACAATATTTAAAAAAAGGTTGTTATTTATATTTAACAAAAATGTTGAATTTGATCATCATTCCCATTTCTCACATTATAAAAGCACAGAGTCATTTTTATTTTCTCAAAAGGAAGAATGAAGATTGCCATGGGTCAGACTCTAAAAAGCGGATTTAAGTTTTCATAATGTAAACCACATTGGTGGATCTGAATTGAAACTCCTACAGTTGCTGTGTGCCTTTTCCTGCACTGGTTCCTCTGGTGCAACTGTGACGTGGCTAACTCTGTAAAATTGCGGTGGCTCCATTTGTGAGAAAATAACAGTAATTCAAGCTGGGCTCCTTTTGTCACTTCTACTATTCTGTAGTGTTTCTCATTTCTCTGGACCACAGCTGGGGGACTGCCAGGATAGTATCAGAATGCAAATAAGGTCTACGGCTTCTTCCACTGTGTGCCACTGGGAGGTTATACACCCACAAGTATCTAAAAGAGTACATGCAATACATACATTTACACATATTGGAGGTTTATAAGGGGCCAAAGGTAAGACTTTTACTGTGATAAACTGTGAATCTAACAAGGAGTATTGATGAGAGTTTCAGTGAGATACATCCAGTATGTGCCTCACACTCACTCCTGTTTTGTCTACCATGCTGTTGCTCTCTTCTTTAGCTTTAAATGTCTGTCAGATTAAAGAAATAAGAGGAAAATACAATATTTATTAGGTGAGAAATATGTCTCTAACTCATCATAAAAATCACAAAAATGGATACAACCTTGAATTTTGATGAAACAAAGCCTTCTCCAATTTCCACGGACTGCAGGAGAGGCAACAACATAATACACAAAGTCTGCTGCACTGTAGGGGATCATAATACCCTGTACAGCGTATACAGATGAGGTTAAAGGGTCATCCCAGCATGCTTTAGCAGTTGTCCATATTCATGTCCTGTATCATATCTTCTACACCCACGTAATGCTCGGTCATTCTACAGAAAAGGTGGAAGTGCTGTCACTTACTTTTGCAGACACCAAAATACATGACGTTGACCTAATACTCAAATTCATATATATGTTGAATAAATTGAGATTGTCTTTGCAATGGTACTAAATAAAAAAATGAAAAAAATTGTTTTATATATAAATTGCAATTTATTTAAAATTGACTGGTGTTACCGTCACTGGTGTTACTTTTCTTCCTGGTAACACGTAACACCAGTGACGTTCCTATGTAAATAAGCTTTGTATAATGTATAAAAATAATAAAAATACTTTAAGCTCTACTTGTTGTGGATTAATCAAGTTAAGAGTTAGTTATTGCTATTTAACAAGTTTTAGATGTGTTTAGAAGGAATATATTCCAGCAGATTTGTATCACCCAGATTCCACCTTTTCTGTAGAATGACTGCTTGTCTGGTGGTGTGCATATGCAAGCCAATTGTGTGTGTCTGTGGGAATCAAATGAGGATCAGTTAATGGATAATGGCAGGGAAAAATCCCATGGATCAGTTTACCCTGCTGACAGCATTGAGAAAAAAGAAAGAGAGAAAAAAGTGCAAATATTAGTGCAAATAATTTCAATCATGAACTTCCAAAACCTATTTTTTCACCCTGTTGCTTTAATACGACAACTAACTTGTTGATTGTGCAGAAGAGAACACAACTTTTCTGTGGCGTTTTATATTGTAAATCTCCTCGAGCCAGTTGATTATCTCGACAATACACATCGTGTCAGTGTTTGGAATTACTTGACAGCCATAAAATGGCATTACATACAATGTGTGCTAAATTAAGATATTCTTCGCTTGAAGAAGTACATTAACGCTGTACCTTACCTTTCGCTATAAAATGCGTAATTCATCAAGTGTCCAGACAGCGTTTTTTGAAGCGCGTTGTGCGCTCTCTCGTGGATTTTCTTGAACATTGTGCTCAGTTTGAACAGGAAAGCGCAGCTTTCAGAGCATGCATGGGGGTGTTGGATGCAGTGTCTATTCGCCTGGCACCTGTTGCAGGCTTACTATTATCAGCGCTGGTCTACTGAGGATATAACGACAGCAGCCTCACCATTATATCAGGACCATGGTGGAACAAACTGAATCCAACTTCAGCGGGTACTATTTTGACAACACTTCAACTAGAGTCCAGAGCAGCTTCGTCTTTTCAGGACCTATGTTTGTCATTTTGATGGTAATGATGGTGACTTTGGACGTTGTGATAGTTTTGGGCAACGCACTGGTCATTTTCGCTTTTAAAGTGGACAAGAGTTTGAGGACACAATGTAATTACTACTTCCTGAATTTGGCAATATCAGATTTTCTTGTAGGTAAGTCAAGCATTTGTTTTTCTGTAGAGACCGGATATTGAGTGAAGTTTAATGCATGCATATTTAGCTATTTCTGAAATAAATACTATTTTCATGATTTGCTATGATGTACCCATGTTGATATATGCCTGATTACTGACTGATTATGCCTGCCTTGGTCCTCCCTGTAGTCTAAATGTGTATACTACTAAGTATAGCTGAGTAGGACTTAATTCATGAATTAGGCAGCTGTTAATTAGTTTAACAGATGGAACCAATATAATAAGTGGAAAGTCTTGGAAACACTTCCCATTGTAAAGCGTCCTTGGGTTTCGTGAAAGGCGCTATAGAAATTGAAATTATTATTATTATTACTTCTTCTCTCTTTCATTATTTGGCACTAATGAAACATTTTGTAATGCAATATTTCTATGACCTTTCGCATTCACTCACCTTATTCCCTTTAGTTCATAAAGGTAAACATATTTTAAGGTATCACTTTACTTAAAGGCGCCCCACCACCCCATCCCCATTAAGCATTTTTAATGTGCATAATTGAAGACGTTCTGTGTGTATGCCTTGAAATCCCTCACACTAATTGTTTCTGTAGGGGCATTCTGCATCCCAGTGTACATGCCTTACATCCTCACAGGAAAGTGGACACTCGGCCGCAGACTGTGCAAGCTGTGGCTGGTCATGGACTACCTCCTTTGTTCTGCATCTGTCTTCAACATTGTCCTCATCAGCTACGACCGCTTCCTGTCCGTCACCAGAGCAGTGAGTGGAATATCCTGCGCCTCACATCTGTACTGCACACAGCCATTAAAAGTAATTCAGGATTGTGACTCCTGGCGTACTTACCGGCCATATTTATTAAACAATCTGAAATTATGTCATAGTCACATTAAGGTAAACTTACTTGACTTTCCTCGTCTCAGACCGTAATAAATTGGCTTTTTCTTTATATGAGTAAAGGATTCATTCAAAGCATAATGTCAAATGTTGAACAGTCCTTTTCTTTGAGCCATATAAATGTTTACTGCTTGTGGCCTGTGGCTTAATTTCTGACCGGTGACCCAGCTAGAAATGTTTGGTTCTAAAAACATTCAGAATGTTACCATTCACTGTTCTAGGAATGTTTTCAACGGGAAGTTTTCTTTTGGTTCCCAGTGTGTTCTTCTGAAAGGTAGGATAACGTTCTCTAAAAACATCCTTAAAATGTTTGGTGATAACTTTCTTAAAATGATTTTGATAACCTTCTTAAGATGTTTTTGATAACATTGTTCAAACATTATGCCCTACTGTTCTTAAAACGTTTTCAGCTGGATGTTTTATTTTAGTTCCCAGAATGTTGTTCTGAAAGGTATGATAACTTTCTCTAAAAACATTCTTTTTTTTAAATGCGACTAGCAGCTAGTACAAGTCTAATGTACTGGAGGGGACCCAGAATCAGCCTCGGAATCAGCTGGTGAAAGTAACATTTGTTTATTAGAAAAGGGGAGCTGGGAGTGGAGGTTGGTTATGGCGGCAGTGTAAACAGTTGTTCCAGGGTGGGTAGAGAGGCCTGGCTGGTCTTAGGAGTGTGGAAGGCCTTGGATTCCTCCTGGGAGAGACATACCAATTAGAGTGAGGCAAAAGCAGTCAAAGTTGTCAAAGAATATGCTGGCAAAAAGCTAGTGCGGCACGCAACAAACCGTTCACGGCAACAATCCGGAAGGGAATGAGTGCAGGCGGCAGGCTATCAAAGTGTGGCTAATGAGCAGGTTGCAGGTTCATTGGAGATAGCTCAAAGCTGTGTAGAGCAGACCAGCGGGCAGGGGGGGGGGGTAACGATTTTTATCCACTATGCATAAACAGTGGACACTGTTTATACGCAGCCCTCACAAACCACAAACGGACAGATAGCTTATCTAACAGTTAGAACCTACATACGAGACACAACCTTTATAGTCAGAAATAAAGTGTGATTATTTTCTGATATTTTACACATATGATATTATGAATACTGTGGGCCTACATACCTTAGTGTGATTATAAGTGCATGTGAGTGAATATTGGCTTGGAAATTCGTGTTTATACGTCCTATTCATTGTCTCAATGCACTCATACATCTTAAGAAAGTTATCACCAAATATGTTCAGAATGTTTTTAGAGAACGTTATCCTACCTTTCAGAAGAACATTCTGGCAACCAAAAAAAAACGTCCCGCTGAAAACGTTTTAAGAACAGTAGGGCATAATGTTCTAACAATGTGATCAAAAACATCTTAAGAAGGTTATCAAAAACACCTTAAGAGGGTTATCACCAAACATTTCAAGAATGTTTTTAAAGAACGTTATCCTACCTTTCAGAAGAACATTCTGGGAACCAAAATAAAACTTCCTGCTGAAAACATTCCTAGAACAATGAATGATAACATTCTCAGAATGTTTTTAAAACCAAAAATGTCTAGCTGCGAACTCACACATGCCAACACAAACATGCAATATCTGCTTACAGCTTATCATCAATTACATGCTTGTTGTTTTTTTTCAAAAGGAAAATGTGGTGACATCAGATTTTTTAAAACATCCTTTTCAAATGCAACAAGTTTGTTTTTTAAAGCGCTCTAGAAATAAATCTTACGTTGACCATGACTGTGTTAATATTTGCCATCACAGGAACGTTTTATAAAAAAAGAATAACCTCCTGAAAACATTATCCGAATGTTGCTTTGAAAATGTTCTTCTTTTGTTATCATGTAATATTGAGGGAATGTTTTACCTTAACAACGTCAAAAAAACATCCTCAGAATGTTGCAGGCAAAACGTTCCACCTTTGTTAATACATCAAATTAAAGGAACGTTTTATAAAAAACTTTCTGTCATCTCAGGCCTCAATAACATCTTCAAAACATCCTCTGAATGTTGCAGTTAAAACGTTATCTCATAGTTCACCTTAAACCTTATAGGAACATTATTTGAAATAATAAAAATCCTAAAAAGGTTCTTTGAACATCAGATTAAAACGTTTCTTTAAAACATTATTAGAACCTGTAGGTAACGTTAGCCAAAGTTGTGAGAACGTTCCCTGCTAGCTGGGAGCAGGTCATTGGTAGGGGCAGAACCACCTCATTCTCCCAAAAGTGCCCATCTGCAGAGGTTAATCATTCCTGACCCATTCAGGCCCAGTGCCACCCCTAATTATAGCCCTTCCCCATGACGAAGATGAAAAAAGTCACATTTTGACTTTGGACTGCACTATGGCTTACCAGAAAATACGCAGGACGCCAATGGTGTAATATGTATACTAAACTTAAAGGCACAATGAGTACGATTTTCCTAAAAACAATGTGTAGATTAAAAAAACAATACCTCACAACTTTTGTACTTCAGGAAACATAGCAATGAGTGAGGCCGAACATATTTTGTTAAAGGTATAATGGAGCCTTTCTCTAAATCAATAAGCAGTAGAAGTTTGTGGTGGTGTCCGTGATCTCACCTTCTGCCTGTATTTTTTCTTTTCATTTGGTAGTATGTGGGATGTGACTGAGCTTCAACCTCTATAATCAGATGCCACGTCATAAGTATGCATCTAAACTACGAAAATGGGACCGTTCAAAGAACATACAAACATAACAAGACAAAATGACAAAGCTTGTAAAATACGAGAGTAAATCTGACCTGTGATGGGGGCAACTTTGAATGTTGTGTTGACAAACTCAAAATAAAAAAAACTTCTTTTGTGCCTTAAATTACTTATTATTACCGCCTCAGTTGATTAAAATCATTTAATCGATGTCTGTGCAACGCTCCTCCGCGGCATACCTTTTCTGAAGCCCAATTAAATAGCATCAGTTATTATCATTTTCTATTTGCTGCCCGTCTTGGCACATATCTAGTGATTAGCAAACATGTCCAAAACTCTGCAGCTGTTAGAACCTCTCGTTGGGGCTTGTCTGTGCATTAGCTGACTGACTGCATCCTACACACGTGTGTAAACCCAAAGGTGGGATGAGGCTTGGCATGGGAGACAAAGAGAGTGTTCTGTTTCCTTTCACAAGCAAACACTTAACATCAGAGCAATGAATACAAATAACACCAGAGAGATGGAAGCCTCTTCTTTAATTAGCTAGCTTTGATCATAGAGATCCTCCTCCGTGCCATGGTCCTTCCAACCTGGAGAGATCAATCACAGCAGAAACAGGCCACCGGCTGCCAAGCAGCATTTTCCTAAAAGCATTCTCTCTGAACAATGAAAGACAAAGGATCGCCAACAACCACATGACACAAAGTTATGCTTTTGACAGAAAAGACAGAGTCATATTATATGCATATGTTTGTCCATTTATGTCAGCCCATTAACAAACTACACAGTATTATAAAATATATTGTGTATCTCACAATTATAGGATGGGGCTAAAATTAATCCCTATAAGCTCTCAGGAGGAGTCTATATTTTCCTATCCATCTTTTATTATATTCATTTTATAAAGGAACATCTATCTCGAAAATCAATGTCCCCCAAGGAGGATTAAAGTACTTCTGATTCTGATGAGCACACCTGATTCTTGTCCATTCAGGGCAACATAACCACATGAACCAGGGGCAATAATTACTGTATACCGATTAATTTATACAAACATAAGTGGAACCATTTTCCATCTTCTTTGTTGGAACTGCACTTCATTTTTTGTCATTCAGAACAGGGGCATAAATTCAAAGCTGGAGAGGGGTGAAGTACGCTGCCCGTTGAACAAGAATGTGGACAGGGACATAGGATGTGACACTAATTCAGACAAGTGTTCATAAGAGGTGTACCATTGACTTAGTACTAATTTAAACACTTTTCTTTAGTGCATGATGTCAGGATGTTGTAAAGTTCACTTCCGTTTCACAACATGCTATGTGGTTCCACAAACAGATCATTATATTGTGAAACTCTCAGATCAACTTTCTGCTATTTGAGGAAATGTAAGACTTTTACTCCCATGCATTTATCTGCCAGTTACAGTTACACCACTACTTATCATGCTTACAAATTAATGCATCACTATGTGTTTCAAATTTTAGACTGAATTATATTACTACTTTTATCACTTTATTTAAGACAGTCACATTTTGCTGGATACAAATGCACCTTTTTATACTGTTTAACTCCCCTTTTAATTTGAATACCTCTTCAATCGCTGCTGTTAAATGAACATTGTCTACCTTTTTATGGCTAAACACATTGTTATTTTCCCCCATTTCTACAATAATGGTAGGATGCAGCAATAACTAATACAATTGTGGGACCCCCTGGCGGTACCTCTCAGCATATTTTCTTATTTCTCCTTATATTTACTGCAGGTAAGTTACCGTGCACGACAGGGCATGACTCACCAAGCCATAATCAAGATGATTGCTGTCTGGGTGCTAGCCTTTGTCCTGTATGGCCCAGCTATCATATTCTGGGAGTTGGTGGTGGGCAGAAGCAGCGTTCCAAAGGATGAGTGTTTTGCGGAGTTCTATTACTCTTGGTACTTCCTGCTGAGTGCCTCCATGCTGGAGTTTTTCTCTCCTTTCATCTCTGTGGCTTTCTTCAACCTCAGCATTTACCTCAGCATTCGCAAGAGGAGGTTCCACAGCAGGGAGGCCCAGCTCCACCTTCAACTGAGCAAAACTGCCTCTGCCCAGGGGAAAGATATCCCCCTGTCCCACAACTCCGAGGTTGGGATGAAACTGGCTGTAAGAGGCTCTATCCACTCCCAGTCCTCCTCTCCCAGCTTGGGTAAACTAGATCACTCGACCAGCAGGGCTGCCCATCCTAGCCGCCTGTCCAGGGACAAGAAAATTGCTAAGTCCCTGGCCATCATAGTGTGTGTGTTTGCCATCTGCTGGGCACCGTACACCCTACTGATGATCATCCGTGCTGCCTGCAGAGGGCGGTGCATCCAGCATCATTGGTACGAGGTCACCTTCTGGCTCCTGTGGCTCAACTCTGCTATTAACCCGTGCCTGTACCCACTTTGCCACAGTAGCTTCCGCAGGGCCTTTAGCAGGATTCTCTGCCCAAAGAGGCATAATACTCCCCAATCATCTGTCCTTCGTCTTGGCCAGTGACACGCAGATACCCACAGAAGCATGGGGATGAACATTGTGCCAGAACCAACCATGGAAATATTCTACATCCAAACCCATAAATTACAACGTTTCAGCAGATGCAGATAAACTGTGCATCATAATTTGTCAAAAGTCCATAATATTTAGTTGACAATTGTGCTTTTCAGTGTTTAAATGTATAAAAGGTTGATGTTGTACAGTAGTGTATGTATTTACTGTGTTTACGTATACAATGTGTAACAGCATGAAAGTAAGTAACTGTCTAGAAATCTGAACACAATCACAAACATATGGTGATTATTAGTGCAGTAGAGTTTTAACATGTGAGAAAAAGTTCTAGAGTTGGCATTTGTCTTGATTGAGTGCAATACGGGCTAGATAGTGTCACTTCATTTATGTTGTTGAGTTTATGTTATGCTGCATGTACCTTGTAATTGAAAAATATATATATTTAGGATTTGTGTTCATTAAAAGATCTCACTATGACAACCTTGATTCATCTTAACTAAAATAGATCGCTATCACCCTCTACTGTTAGAACGTTAACTATTGATATTACAGAAGCACTGTGATGAAAACAAAAAGTGCAATTAAGTATAAATGTACGTAAATCAAAGTGTTTAATGAAACCTTATATTTCTCTATGTTTGGGGCACATTATTATACAGTAGATAAATAATGGATTTCTCTACAAACTGAGTACTGTCTGCTCATTAATAATAAACAAATGGATTGGTTGCTGTTCTGTAAAAAAAAACTAGAACAATGTAAAAATGTTTATTTTAATGGTTTTTTTCCTTCTTTAAGTATGTATGATAGAAAGTATTAGGCTTTAAATGAGAGAAGTCAAATGTTTACAAACTATTTCAAAATACAATTTACTGTGATCAGCGGATGCATGTTTAAGTATGTGCCACTAGATGTCACCATTAACCCGTACAGCTTCCTGTGTGCGCAGTGCCTGAGCCTGTCTCCAACGCTACATGGAGTGAAGTCAATCTTCGAGATTGGCGACGGTTTCCATGAACAGTTTTACTTTATTGTATTTGATTGAATCGCCAGTTTAATGTGTGTTATATTTCTGCAGTAGGACCTTGACTGACTACAATTGTAAAGCATAATGTTATAATATACCTATAAAAAGGGATCATGCTCCCTAACACTTATCCACATTGACAATTTCTCTGTCACATACTATAACTTACTTACTTGAACAGGGATTGTAATTAAAATCCTTTAACAAATTATTTACCTCAAGTGCTGTTATTTTAAATATATCTTTGGTACCTGTTGTAACTTAAATATAACGGAAGCGGCATGAATGCTTTCATCTTGATTCAGAGAAAAACTAAACTATAATGTATAATGTGAATATATTTTTGCCTATTTTAAGTGTATTATACCATGATTAAAAAGATAAAAACATTTTTGTTACTGCTTTAGGATCTTAATGCACATAATAAATAAACAATTTAATCTCTCTGATGTATTTTAAATGTAGATGCTGTCTACCTGATGGCTAATTGGGTCAGTGCCAAGTGCAGAGTAGCTTTTGTTTGATGTGCAGATGAAATGCTGAGAGAGCAATAGCATTTTTAAGTATTGTTCCCTAGTCTGGGTTGGTTTGATTTGATAGATTCGATGAGTTATTTCCAGATGTAGACTTGTTAGACCTCTAATTACGCCATCATGTTAGATAGTGGGGTTATATTTGCAGGTGCCTGGGTCCCACAGGGGACTTACATTGCTCAAATTTTTGCTTTTGCCCGTGTGCACATCTGGGCCCCTGGTCAGGTGCGGGGAATAAGGGCACAGCTGCAGGGACAGGCCTCTGCTCCCCCTCCCTCTCTGCCTGTGGCGAGGTGGGGGGACAGAAGCACACTTTGACCAGAGGGATGCAAGCACATTTCCCTCGGGACGATGGAACTGCATTTATCAGCAGAATGGCGAGCCTGGGTTTACTCCCTGTGTATCTAAATGCGACAGCAAGAGCCGTATCACTGTGAGGAAGGCTTGCACTGTGTGCAGTTATGTTAGAGGGACTACTGCAATTGATTTTGTTGATAGATTGAAATGTCATGGCATGCCAGGCTGATGTGGCTGCTGACTGAATATGTTCGGGATCATGCCAACTTAAATTGGTCTTTGATGAGTTGCACTAGGAAAAATACAGATGTGATTTTAATAATGTGCGGTTGCAGAAGTGTGCGGTTGCAGAAGTGTGCATTGCATTGCAAATCCTATTCAGTGTGTAAACGTGAATGTGTTTATGGGGGGGTTGGATGTCTGTGACCCCAAGCAATGTATCTAAAAGCTGTGACCCCAAATTGAGCGCACCTGTGCCCCTTAAGTTTATAGAGTCCCATTAGCAGAGACTCAGTCAGTGATCAGAGGGGGGAGAGGGCCTATATAACTTCCCCATGAGATTCTCTGAATAGTTAAACTCTTGGAATTTGCACTTAAGCACTTTGTTAGGATGACTTAATGCTGAATAACATCTCTGATCCACCCAATGGACAATAAAAGGTGTAATGATGCCACAGTAATATTTGGAATAAGGAAAAACTGAAACTACATTTTCACAAACCAGTACACTTTGCAACAGCATATGCTACACAAGTATTTTCAGGTTATGTTGGAATATAAAAGTGAACACAGAGACAAGTCCAAACCACTTTAGTCAGCAGATACAGGTCAAAACAGTGACCTCTTTTCAAGTTGCAGCATCACTTAGTGTACGCCTTTCCCCCGCATAGACTGTTCACTTTCTCAGCTAACTAAATGTAAACCACAGTTTAATATTTGATGAGGTACTCAAAAGAAAAAGAGACTATTTCTGCTTCATTTTTGCCTTTTTCTGTTCTTCCGTTTTTCCCTCTGCTTTTTCCTGCAGTGTACTTCCTGACTAGAGATTAAATAATTCCATTGGAATCCTCTTAGGATGGGTTCCCAGCACTTGGCAATTAAACAATTACATTTAATCAGCATGGGGCGACGCTTCAAGTCACCCTCATTTCAGACGTTGATTAAAAGCAATTCTGCAGTGGTTATTGCTGTCGACTTTGGAAACTGTGGTTCACTTAGGTTTACTGCATCTGTGGGGTCAGGTTGGACAGCAATATGGCAGGTTCAATGATGGTCGAGAGCTGTATCTGCCTGCGGTGGGTAAAACAGTAATCATAGAACTCATGGCAGACCTAATATTGTCCCTTAAGTCAGAGCTAGTTAGATTACTTAGAGACATGTTGATCCTTCAGCAAAGAAGACTCAACGAACAATAGAGAGGAGAAGGACATTGAGTTACGCATGTGGGAGTCCAGATGTGTGAGCGTGTGTGTGTGCACATTTTTTCTATGTGCATTTGACTGTGTCCATACACAGCATTTTTTTCTGCATCTACATTTAGGTGCATCTGCAGAGAATGAAATGCACCTTGACATACGCAATTTCATCATGCCATGCAATAACACATCCCTGTGTGATGGCAAACAAGCTGCGAGAGAGCACAGGGGCAGGAAGGCTTTTGTGTGAGCCGTATTTGACATTATGCTTGAGTGAAAGAGTGCTACGTGGCAACGCGCTGGAGCAGACTACAGCCAACCCCCGTGCAACGCAGATGAGTTGTGATGGATACCCGGCCCCCTCTTGTGAAACCCAGGTGCCCCTGTTTCATAAGGCCCCCCACTGGCTCCCCAGCCCTCTTAATTAGCCGCTTCCGTCAGCTGGCACCCAGGCCTTCAAGCACCAGCCACTGGCCTCTGCTGCTGAAACCAGTTCAGTCCAGATCTTCACCTCTTCTAACAGATGGATACATGGGCGGGCTGAGGCATCAAGGTTCTCGCAAACCTGTAAATTATCTGTGAATTTCCGGATCAGATGCAAGAATAAAAGGAGGAGAAAAGGCAGTGGAATGTTTCAGTCAGTGTGTTTCTTTGTATTAATAAATATGGGTGAATGCAGAGCATGGGCCATGGGTTTGAGTCTGCTTACAAGACATGATGATTTTTATATGATGAAGTCAAATATAGATAAAAGGTTTCACCAGGACTGGAATCTAGCCTTTTACCCAGTGCAAAATCACAGCAGCTCAGTAACAATCATCTCTTCTAATGACATTCCCCAAGTAACTTCTTGCCTCTACAAATCCCATGGGGGAAGCGCTACAAAAAGTGATAATTACATGAAATATACATAGAGAATAAAGGGAGCATGTTTACATAACCAGGCCCATAAATATCTGACGGAGAAGACATTGTTCTCCGACTCCTTTTAAGCTGATCTCCCAGGGATGCCATTTTAATGACATGATGGTTTAAAGAGATGCTGCTCCATCTCGTTCCATATTTAATTAACTTTTGCTTTTCTGACGCAGAGGAAAAACAGAATAAAGAACGTGTGATAGAGACAAACACACGATAGCGGGGAGACAATAACAAATAGCTGGGAGAACAGAGAGGGAGGCAGGGGGAACATGTGCAGAGACCTTGTCATGCTTTTGTGATCTGTTTACAATACAAGAAGATGCAAAGGGGGGAGGGGGGGGTTGGAAAAACGACAGGGAGAACTAAACTGACATGGGTGAGTGGATGGTATTGAAGGATGAAAAGACAGGACAAGAATGAACAGGAAATCATGGATTTCTTGAAAAAGAAAGATTACATTTTTAAAAAGGAGAAAAAGAAGAGACAAGAAAGAGAGGAACACCTCAGTGTATGATGTACTAGTTCCCCCATGGGGCTCCATTATGAAGCATGTTTTAGTTCACCACCAAGGACAAGGAAATAAATGTAAAACCTACAGTGTGTTAAACTGAACTCTAAGATTCACTGAAAAGAAATGCAATACACAATGAAAATGAAATGAAATCTAAAACAAAGCCCTGTTTTTTATTCCACTTTGGCATCCTTCCCCACATTTTCGGCAGCACAGAGCCATGTTGATCTGCCACGTGTTCATTAAGTAAACACGTGGCAGATGGAAGTGAGCAAAGATTCATCAGTGTTAATAAGTACGTCTGTATACTGAGATTTCTAACCACATTGAAAGCATTGAATTTTGGAGAAAAAGTAGACTGTTCTGCATATTATGTGGTGACTGAAACTAATAGTGCTGAAACACATACATTGGTTTCAGCAGTCACGATGAACTCAAATCATCTAACCAATGAATTCATGTTCAGCCCAGAATTTCGGTGTGCCCTTCCCCTCTCTCAGACAGTGTGTTTTCCATTTTGACTGTCAGCTGTGTATGTTGTACGCTGCATTATTGATACTTTCTTTCCCTTTTCTCTCCTCTTGTTAGACTCTTCCCTTGTCCTCATATCATCACATTGGCCACATTGCCTGCAGAGCCTGGAGAGTTGCAGTGAATTTGACCCCACCTGGTCTATATTTTATTGCTTGGTGTTTAATACATTTTTGAAAACCCTCCCACCTCCCATCTACAAAAGAAAAGAATAATCCTGTGCCTTGTCTATTTCAAGTGTTTGTCTTGGTGAGGCAGAGGAAGATGACTGGAGGGGGATACTCACCTTCAGCTCGCCTAGTTCAGCAGACAGGGGGGTTCATTATGAGAGGCTACAGAGGAGGGAAGAGTGGGAATGTGTTTGTCTGTATGTGTTTTAGTATGGTGATGGACTGACGACTCGTTCAGGCTTGCCCAATGTATGCTGGGATTGGCAGATGGGAAGTCCCCTTTGACCCTGAAGATGTTTAGAAAATGTGGGGAGGGATGAAAGACACATTTTCCCTGTATCAAAATAATACAATGCATGTACTAAAATTTTCCAGTTTTACAGCTTGAAGTGTAGGATGAAGATGGATATCCTTTGAAGGCGATAATCTCTTCTGTAGATACTTTTATAACTATAACCGGAAAACTGTCTTTTCCATTCAAATATTTGCAGAAAAAGTTTCATCAAAGTAACTTCACTCTGATGAGGACTATTTGGGAAACAGCTTTTACAAACTTTTTATAAAAACCCTAACCGTAACCCTTGTTTTTGACATTCCTACAATGACATTTTCAAAAACACAGAAACAGTTTGTATACAAAATTACTCAGGATATAAACAAAAGACAATAGCGAAGGCCCTTAGTTGTGCTTCTCCATAAACACTGTGGCAGGGCTACATACTGAGGTTGAGGCGTCCATTTTGCTGACACAGTTCTGAAGTGAAAAGATGGCTCTCTGGATGTGGAGTGCCGGTGTGAGAGATTGGGTTACCCCAGACACTCCCAAAGGATCTCCCGGCCAAATGGATCTGGATCTCACGCTTGGGCGCACATATTGAATGCCATAAGAGGTCTCTGAGGTCTCCTTCAAGGGGAGGAATGCACAGCCTAACAATGTGGAGTTTTCACCAAACTACATTTTGCACCAAAGAAAAGTGATAGCAAGGACACTGGATCACAAGGGACAAAACACCGAATGCATACCTACATTACTTCAGGTTGTTCATACCGTATAATGTGGCACACTTTCAGCCTTGTGGGAAGCAACATACTGCACAGGTTGGATCTCATAATTCTTTAATAAAGTCTTAACACAGGCTGCCACATTTCCTCAGGGGGACTGTGGGTATTAGGCTGTCAAATGAAAAAAGCCAAAATGCCATTTCACACACATCCTGAAAAGAACAATGGCATTTCAGCTACTCCCAAACATCTGGCCCGGCTGCCCAGTTTCACCAAGGACTGGCCGGGCTCTTAGCAGCATTGAGTGCCACTCGCATCGAGGTTACGATCAGGCGACGACACCGCAGAGGATCAGCCAAGCTAAGTTATCTCTGAACAAGCCATCCATTCTGCTGCTTTCTGATGGAAGAATACTTGGGGGCTGTGTAATTATATTGCTTTAAATGAACCCCTGAGAACGCCCCTGCCAAAGCGCCCACAAAGTCTCACACTTGGGCGAGTGTCAGAAACACATCGCTTGTGTATGCACTCGTGTGTAGCTGTGTGTGTGTTTTGCTGCTTAGGCTGGCGTTAAAAGGGAGGCCACAGTGGTTCTGATACGCCTCACAAGTGAATTTAATTAAATCATAAATATGAGCTGGAGGCCGCCACCCAATTTAATGTAATGGATGATGTGGGCCAGTCCATCTCTGGCAAAGCAAAGTTCTGGACCCATTCAAATGCCCTTGAAGCTTATTAAAAGTGGTTGGCACAGGGAGATGCTAGCAAAGTTGTTTAATGGATGCCCAGCTTGCATTAAGTATGACAGTTAATACTGGGTCGTACCATCTCTGCTTTGGACGAGGGGTTGTGCCTTCACTGTGGAAGTCTGTCATAGTAAGATGCCCCCTCCATTCCTCATCAGATCTTTATTATAGTGGTGTTGTAAAAGCAAATAGATGACAGGCAACATTTACATTTGATGTTGCACTTAAAATTAGAAACATTGAATAAGAGAAGCTTTAGAAACTCTGATGTTTGACATTTTGTGATGTTAAATGGTCTTTAATAATAACATCCAGTGGGGTCAAATTTATATCGCGCATAACAAATCAAAATGATGGGAATATTATTGTGTCTCTTAGTATTCTCATTTATGACTCAATATTCAAACATAATTGATATTATGCAGTATTTTATATATTATGAAATACAGTATCTTCTGCTTATTTAAAATTAGTCATGAGTTCACAGTAATTTGTTGTTCACAGTACTTACAAGAGCTGCAGCGCTGAGCTTTTTTAAAAACAAAACTGAAAGCTTCGACAAATGTTATGCTGCTCGCATGTCACCGTTGATGAATCATTTGCTGGGACAGACAGATGTTGTTTCGTGGGTTTCGTCCCATCCCGCAAAGGCAGAAGAATCTTTTTCTCCGTCTCCCGGAGTGCTGGATTCTCCCTAAATAGACCTAGCGCAAGGGTGTGTAGAATGGGACCGCACAGGGTGATGGGTAATGGAGTCATTAATAACACAGACCTCCCTTAAGATGCTCAGATGTTTGTTAGCGAGAGCCACAAGGGAGCGAGGAAAAATAGGATCCAATTTGATAAAAAGAAGAAAAGCAGTGTAAGCTTTTGATGATGATCGTGTTTGTGCTGTCAAAGGTCTTGTCTGATGGGTTAATTATGTTCACACACACACGTTTACACACAGATACACATATTTTATATAAAGCAGATAATGAAAGGACAATGAAGCCAGTTCTTCATACAGTTTTTAATATTTCCATCACATGTGCAACACAAAAAAATGAGGTCTGCCAAATACAGAACTCAATACATTTTAATAACATCTGAGATAACTGTCCTTTTGCTGCAGGAGATGGTGATTTCCTGTAAACTGTGTACGAACAATTCTCAATCAAAATGTCAAAACATTAAAGTTTTATACAAAAGTGCATCTCAGGTTCAATGAATGCAAAACATTTACATAACAGAATGTTTTAAAGTTTCATATGATGCCACAGTGGCTTCCAGCTTGAGCATAGAGCAATGGGACACTGCAAAGAAACAAGGAGTACTCGGGCACTCTCCAGGAGAGCCAGGGACAGAGTTTTGTAATTACATTATATCCCCAGAACAGACTGAAATTATGCTCAGTCTTCATGACCCCCAAATCCAAATGGATTTACTCCCCTACTGCGAAAAATATGTATAGATAACAAAACATAAAAGGGAAAATAATTCCAGTAATCTCCAGGCTTCAACGAGCAGTAAACATTGACAACAGAAATGTACAGGTTGAGTCAGTGGGCCGGAGATTTTCCCCATGCTCTGAGAGCCACATGGGAGCTTCACGCCTCTGTTCACGAGCCAACCAGAGGAACTAGCCTTTTCCAAATCTGTGTCACTGCGTTTGCATATATCAGCATCCTGTCCTGTTTTTCTGTGTTCTTTTTTCTCTCTTTCTTGTATTTGTATTTTTTTGCCTCTCATCTGAACTCCAGCGCAGGCAGTGCAGATTAGTCGCACCACCGTTCTCAGCTGGTCCTCTGGCAGCCACGAAACGACGGACACACAGTCAAGATCTCAGCTTATGCTGGTGAATCGAGCTTTTCTACCCCGTAATGATTGACCATGTTAGGATACATAGTGACATACTGCGCAGTAGGAGTGTCGCTGATGAAAAGAGTCCTCCTGACAACACTTGCGGGATCCTACAGCTTCCTACGCTCTCAGTGGCACCCTGTTTCTCCTTTACACAACTGTGAGTCCCATCTGGTCTGATTGACAATGTCATTGATATTTTTTTCCCCTTCTCTTTTTTTTGGATAAACATTTTTGAACTGTACATTGGCAAATACTGTATAAGATTGCAATATAGCTGTAGTTAAGCAACACATGAAGAATTCTATGTACAAACAAGTTGGCTTTTTCTTTATTTTTGAAATAATGGTTAGTAAAGAACCGGGAGGGTTATTTTATGTTCTTTCCCTCTCTTTCTTTTATTTTCTTAGCTTTTCTTTTTTCTTGCTGTGGCGTGGTTCCTTGTGGTGAAACTGAATCGAAAGTTCAGTGCAAGACAGTCAGTGGGAAACTGCACTGACGGTAATTGGCGGTCCGACATTATTCTCTGCGTCATGTGATCCTTGTTTTCGGCCACGGCGCTGATCTTTGCCATGTTAGCTGCTGTGCTGAGTCAACGAGTGGTTCTGCAAGGACACACAAAGAAACAGGGGAAACATTATGATCACATACAACAAACGCATCTTTCATCATCCTATCCTTTCATTAAAAGTACATTGGGAACAGTATTCATCTTCCATACCAAGGACACTATTGCTTTGCACCTTGAAATGTGTTATAAATGTTATGATAGGCAAGCACTTTTGATTCTGTTGACATTTGAACGTTGCCATTATTAGGCTTTCATTATCCGGATCCAATTAACTTGCACAGGAGTCAAACCTGTGTGCATCAATATCAGCTGGTGTTAGGATTAGGCCTAGATAAGTCGTGGTCTAACACAAAGGCACACGACCACTGACAGATAACATTCTGCCTTCCGATCAAAGACTGTGTCCATGGAAACAAATCCATAAAAAGGCACTGGTACACCTGAAGGAATATCATCCTTAGAGTCTTGTTTATTCAGAGCCTACATTTATAGAATCTGCTGCAAACGGACAGTGCAGGGAGGGAAGTTCAGAAATACTTTATGTGCAGGTGAGGCCGTTGACGATTTGATCCTCCACACTTCTGTAAATATGTAACGGTGCACAATTCCCCGTGACAGGATAACAAGCTGACAATATCACTCCGTTTTGCTGTATCTCCCAAATATATGCAGGCACACACACACACACAGGCCGTTGAGAGTGGTTGTAGTGGGGCAGCTGTGCCAGGTTCTTTAAAGGGAGTGTGGACCAGGGGGTGTGTAACTGGTGTCCCTGGTGGGCTGAATCCAGGTCATCTTTTGAAGTGACTGCTAATCCCTTTAATGCAAACTACATGCCCCACTTGCTGTGCTCTGTTTAAAACACGGCCTTGGACTCTCTAAACTGGCATGGACTAGACACACCTGTCATGGAGTCATCAACACACACATACACTTTGTTCTGTACACCGACACAGCATTAGGTGCACAAGGTTGCAAAATGACATTTGTACTGCTTAACTAGTTTCAAAATAAAATGGGGGGAGGAGGGGACAAACAATTATTACTGCAACCTCAGTGACAAGGTTTACCAAAGCAGTCACCTTCAGTCCTGTAGGTGCAGAATCCCTCAGGCAGTAGCTGGGCGATGACTATTAGCCCCCCTTGCATTCATTCCTTCCCTTTTACCCTTTCAGCTGCCTCCATATAAAGCATTTAAACACCTCGACAGCTTTCCTTTCAGCTAGGGCGATTACTTCCCGACAGGTGGGGTAATAAGCTGTTTGACGGGGAGCAGGAGTGTGACCCCTGTAAGGGTTAGCGTGGCTCGTCTGGGCCCTGCTCTCTTTTTTTAAAGAGGCGGCCCCGGACAGCTCCTCTGCTTCCCTCTCTCCTCTCTCGCTAAAATAAAGCTCCTTTAAGTGAGTCTGGGAGGAGACTCCCCACGGGACGCTCTCTTTCTCTCTCTCTCGCCCCAACTCACCTCCTCCCCCTCCTCACACTCCACCAACCCCCTACCCCCCCGGTGAAGACATCCTTGGTGTTGCTGAGGAGGGACAGGAGCACGGCAACCTTATTAATGAATGCGGCCCATTACTCGTCAGCCCGGCTCCTCGGCGACTCCCAGAAGCCCCTGCAGTACGTGACTTCAAATGGCAGGATATTGACACGAGGAGAGCAAAGCGGCTAGGACTGAGTGTGTGTGCCCGTGCGTATGTGTGTGTGTGCCCGTGTGTGTGTGTGTGTGTGTGTGTGTGTGTGTGTGTGTGTGTGTGTGTGTGTGTGTGTGTGTGTGTGTCTGTAAAAAAGAGAAACAGAGAGAAGAATTGTGTTCAACTGAGTGTGCATGCCTTTGTGTAAGTGTGCCAGTGCGTCTAGGTGTGTGTGTGTGTGTGTGTGTGTGTGTGTGTGTGTGTGTGTGTGTGTGTGTGTGTGTGTGTGTGTGTGTGTGTGTGTGTGTGTGTGTGTGTGTCTGTCTGTGGACCCCAAAGGAACGTAGCTCCTTGGATATAATGTAGGGCTCGTAACAGCTATTAGAGGGGAAAATAACCTCTCTGGGGAATGGCTCCCCCCTCTGCTTGTCCCAGCTCTGTCTGACACACACTGCATTCTACCTTTTCCTTAAACATGCCAGGAGTTTTCTCACTGAGGGCTTTCTCAAGGACGGTGTTAAACGACTTCAGTGGCTGTGGCAGCCATGCAGACGAAAGGGAAATAAAGGAAAAGAGGGGGGTAAAAAAAAAAACGTTAAAGAAAATGAAACTGATACTTTTATCTCTGTGGATACTGAACTCCTCAGAGAAGCTATAAACTGTTCTGTGTATGAGTATTGAAGGGAGGGTGGGGGGGAATTCACTTTCCAATCTTCATCCTTGTCAAGTTCTTCAAGTACCTCTGCAGCGGCGCTGTGTAAGTTAAATACTTATAGTTACCCAACCACAAATGTCAAATTAGAAGTGAAACACATAATTCTCATCTTGTGCGAGAAAATGACTGAAATGTCCAGTGCCCCGGTAAAGAGGATGTCACTAATGGTGTCACACCAGAATCACTGCAATTTAGGATTAGATGCCCTCCATTAAGCCTTTTAGCTCCCATCCTAACTCCCTCCTTCAATGCCATCCTATTCCCCCAGAAACTCTGCCATTCCTCTTATCATCCATTTCCTTCCCTTCTATCCAACCCTTAATCTCCTCCTCGATCCTTTCAACCACCTGCTGGCCACACAGGCCTGCTGCAGGGCCCGGCTACCAGCAGTGTTCAGGTAAACCATTGGAGTCGATTCTTCACAAAATTAAATTTTGCTCTGATCAATAATGAGCACCCGCTTCTCTCTTGAAGACTGGCTGCATTGGCTCGGAGCGATCCTCCTCTTCCATTATCTCACCGGCTCTGTGCCACGGTTAAAACCACCACTTTCATCTGATTACATCACCCTGCTGCAACGCCCTCAGGGGTAGTGGGAGAGGAGGGGGAACATCCGGCAGGGGTCTTGTGTACCCATGCAAACAGGTGCAACACGTCTTAGGAATTAAACATTGCTGCAGAGAGCGAGAGGTAGAGAAAAAAATGGGGAACGATTGGAGAAGAGCAGAGAGCGAGAAACAGCAAGTAGGCTGGGGAGTTGATTTATTAACTAATCATTCTTTATGTCGTTCCCCATTGCTCTGGTCTCCATCGATAGCACCCGGTCTCCAGTGAGGCAACAGAGGTGCATCTCTTACATCAGCTCTGCAAAAGAAGTCCAGCAGACTAGCACACACATTCTCCCTTTCATCTGATCCCGCTGCATTAAAGACAATCTTCACATTGTCCAAGATCACAGAGGAAGGATGTAAAGCTTAATCGCAACTCTAACAATGTTTGATTAGCATGATGTTAATACCTGCAGAGCACATGTTAAGTAGGCTACAATGTGTCTGCACATCTACCTGGTGTTATGCAGCATGTAACATTAAACCCCGGCTTTATCGAGTTGTCAGGCAGCTGAGTGAGCATTAACGACTTCTTAAGCCATGGCCTATTCAAAGCTCCACAATCAAAGCAGTATGCTCTTCGTCTAGAGCTGACCACTGAATTGAACATAATGGTTCACATTAGGTAGCCCTCAAATTCAGTGATGCATCTTTAAATTATAGCAACACCATATTATAATGATTAATTCATAATACCTGCTAAAATGTATAAAAAGCCAGGCAGGAAGAACTGCAACTATAAACCAGATTATTAGCAGTGCGGTGGTACATTTGACAAAAAGATAACTTATGATAAAATGTAAAAAAAAATACAATTTGGTTAATTATTTTATAAAGTATCATGACATTTCTGTGTGTCTGTTGAAATGCTAGTTCAACAGTAAAGCAATGATTTGATAGTGTGAGTCAAGTTAGTCTTAGTTACAGAAAAGACGCTCATTAAAGAAACTATTTAATTAGAAGAGTTAAGCACATTTATTTTAACCCCTGCAGCTAAAGTGTCTTATTCAGTTTATCTATAATCCAAAAATTGAAGGAACAGTTAAAACTGTAAACATCCCCCTCTAAGCTATGATTAAAATTCTTATCAGTGTGTGTGCCGAGTTTCTCTATTTCGCTGCATGGCTGGCATACGGTACGTCTGCATCTGGAGCACGGGGAGTGTGCACAAAACCACTGAGACCTGTGCATACCCGTAGTCATCACTCAGGAATTTAATTAACACATAAGTCATCAAATGATACTAAAACAGGGTTAGAACCCTTGTATCTTTTTAAGGCTCCAGTCTGCAAGGTGACTTAAAGTAAAAGTAATGACTTGGATATTTAAGCTTATTTATGTTTTTGTGTAATGATTTAAATATAAACTGCGGACAGTAAGGAGCACATTGTTTAATTTTGTGATTAAGAGTTTCAAATGCTTTCTTATCGCTAACACTGCCGTGGCGAAAGACTAGAGTGCTGTATTCAGTCCTGATCTTTAATGGTGTGTTGAACCTGGTCCAGTATTGACTCAGTTTTCCCTTTGTGCCTTCCCTACTGTTGACCGGTCCTCTGAGGGAGTAATCCTTTCCTGCTCTGACCTCAGGCCAGGCTTACTGCTGGCTAGTTTAGCCAATGAAGAACACAATCAAATAAATAAATAAATAAATAATACAGCAGGCGGCATTCTCCACAGTCATCACTTATCAGGCCGTGGGGAAGGTTGACCCCAAACACAGTTGTGCCACTACCGTCCTGGTCACCATGGTAACAGACTGTCTTATTTGAAGTGAGGTGTCCGGGGAGTCGTGGTCATACAGTAACAGCGCTAGGTTAGGGTGGAGTTGACAACAACGATGGATTTCAATGTCTTCCATGTGTGTCGTTTTGCGTCCGGTGATTTGCGCACTGAAAGCTGGTAAGAAATATATAATAAATCCACAAAGCTTGAAAAGCTTTGATTAGATGTCTAACTACCCCAAGCAAATGCTTCTGAGGTGTAACCGGAGATGACGGACCACCCTTTTTGTGGGCCGGTGCTTTGTAGCTCCAAATGATACTCATTACCCTGTCTAAGTAGACAAGTGAATGGTACTAGA